AGACGCGCGGCTGGAGGTTCAGGTGGTGTGCAGCGTAGCGAACCGCGTAGGGCCATAGAAAATGGGGCGCACGGGCATGGATCATGGACGTGCGAGCAATGTCCATGACCAAGTCAATGCGGCGCTCAGCAACCCCATTCTGCTGTGGGGACCCCGGAAGCGTCCAGGACTGTACGATGCCCTGTTCGCCGCAGAATCCGCCAAGAATGCCGGAGCGAAACTCGCCCCCACGGTCGGAGTGTAGAGAACTGGCACGATGACCACGAGTGCCCTCAGTGGCCAGAAGCCACCGGATCAGCGTAGCAGTCACCTCGTACTTCATCGCGAGAGGAAACACTGTGGTGTACCTGGAGAAGTCGTCGACGACCACCAGAAAGTAACGCTCCCTCCCAGATCCCTGCGTCGGGGCAGGGCCCCAGACGTCCAAGTGGAGAGTCTCGAAGGGAGCAGTGGCCAGACGAAGGGAGGAGGAGTGAGGAGTGGCGCGTAAGCGACTGGCGACGCAAGGACTGCAAGGGGGAGCAAGTGAGGTAGGGAGCGACGGAAAGGTGCATGGGAGACCTGTGACAAGCCCCTGGCTGGTCATGCCGCGGAGGCGGGGGATCGACGGGTGACCAAGGCGGTGGTGCCACAAGACGGTCCGGTGGGTGAGGGAGCAACAGGAGCAAGACGCAGCAACCGGACAGGACACCGCGACCGCACTAGACACTGCAACTGGACCAGACACGACCACCTGGCTAGACACAGCAACCGGACTGGACACCTGGACTGGAGGGGACGCAACGACCTGAACAGAGGACGCAACTGAGGAGCGCTCGGTGTGGAGAACTTAGAGACCGGTGCGGGGCTCCCTGGTGTACGTGGCCAGAACAACACCTGTGGCAGTGTCTGTACAGACCGCAGTCATCCCACCCCCCACAAAGGTAACCGTGATCCCCCTGTACTGGAGGTAACCAACACCCACCAAGTTCCGAGTGAACGAGGGGTTGTGGAGGCCGCGCAGGACACCAGAGGGGACCACAGGACACGGGAGGGTAGTGGAGCTACGCGCAACGGCTGGTCCTGAGGTAGGATCAGCCAGAGCTACCGAAACAGGAGTGAGGAGTGGCGTGAGGGTCGTGCGGTCGCGGAAGAAGCACTGAGACGCACCAGAGTCCAGCGTGAAGGACAGGGACGCCTCAGCCGGAGGGTCACCTGTCCTAGTGGCTACACAAGCACCTAGAGCAGCAACACAAGCACCTAGACTAGAAAGGCACAAGTCTACACTAGCAGGCGGAAAGCAAGCTAATCTACGAACACGCGAGCACACAGATCCATCAGCACTATAGTCAACATCAGCATACAAAGCATGCTGACGAGCATCGTCCATGGACAGATCAAACACATCAATCTTACGGGCTAACAGGCGAGCCCAGCGAGGCATGGTCGCCGCAGGGCCCCAACGAGCACGGTAGAGGTCGTCGAGGCGGCGGAAGCACCGCGGTGCAGAGTGGTCGTCGCGACCGCAGAGACAGGGGCTGCCCGGTCCGGTGAGGCACCAGTGGGTGCAGGGGCCAGTGTCACGGCGAGGGGGGCGAGGGGCCCAGCTGGAAGTACTGCTGCTGCGACCGGTGCTCCCAGGTCCTCCCGGACCCCACTGCGGCGGGGGACCCCAGTGCTGCTGCGGACCCCACTGCAGCGGGGGCCCCCATTGCTGGAACTGCTGCGGTGCCTGCTGCTGCTGCTGCGGTCCCTGCTGCTGCTGCTGTCTCTGCTGTGGCTGGTGCTGCTGCGACTGCTGCTGCTGGGGTCCAACACCCCCACCGGTCGGGCCACCGCCAGTGGGCGGGCCTGTCTGTCCTGCACCTCCTCCAAGGCCCCCTCCTCCTGGTGCACCTCCGCCGCCGCCATCGCCGCCGCCGCCTCCACCACCGCCGCTCCCACCTCCACCGCCACCTCCACCGCCACCTCCACCGCCGCCTCCATTGCCTCCACCTCCCCCCTTCCCGCCCTTCTTGCCACTATTGCCCCGTTTCTGCCATTCTGCGGCAGAAACGGCAGCAGTGTCGTCAGAAAATGACACAGCAGCAGAAGCGCGGGTAGCAGTGAAAGTGGGAAGCTGAGGGGCGGCACACCCCGCAAAGAGACGGGGGGCCACTGCGTCAGTGGCGGAGGCAACGGTGAGGAGGCTACCCTCGATCGTCCCGAGAGCGGTCTCAAGGAGATCGATAGTGAGCTCAGTGGGGTGCTTCTGGAGAAGCGCGTCGCGAGCAGTGGCAAGGCGGTCAGGGAGGCGGGTGACTAACCAGTGTACAGTGAGCCACATGGGGGGGGGAGCAGCAAGAAGCTGGGCGTCGGTACAGGCCGCACGGAAACCGGCGTCAAGTGAGCGGAGGTGAGTCACTAGGTCGTACACAGTCGCAAACGAGCCAAGGTCGGGAAACACGAACGGCATGAGGAGGCGACTGAGGGAGGCAGAGAAAGTTGTGGAATAGCGTGCAATAATAGCATCCCAAACCCCCTGAGCTGTCTCCACCTTGTCAAAGTGGGCGGCCTCAGTCGGGGGGAGGAGCTCCGTCAGTGCAAGAGCGGCGGCAGCGTCGCGGGAGTTCCACACGTCCCTCGCCAGGACCCGACGTTCGTAGTCCGCCTGGGCCGCAGGAGTCGGCTCTGGGCCGGTCGGCAAGGGGGCGGGGGACTGGGGCGCCTTGAGGGCACCAGACGCGTGGGCCCACAGGGGGGCGCCGTCCTGACGCTAACTGGTGAGGTAGCGCGTGGTCTGGCGCTGCCAGGTACTGAACTCGATCGGGCGTCCCTCCGCATCAAAACGAAGGCGGCGGGATTCCATTATGGAGGCCATGCTAGAGGTGGCTGGAGCACGGAGGAGGCGGGTCTAGGAGCGAGGAGGGAAATCTAGGAGCGCCAGGTGTGGCGAGGCAAGAGACCGGCGGAGCTAGTGGTTAGGAGCTAGTGGCTACACGGGTCTAACCTAGGCGACCGGTGAGAGTAGCGGCTGCCAGCCGCTGAGTGAAAAGTCAGTAGCAGTAGGAACGGTTTTAGCCCGGGGGACAGGGCGGTGGCTAGGTGAGAAGGGGCGGTTGGGACGTTAGGAGGAGGTGGCGCGTGGGTTAGGGCGCGGCCTAAGGCGAGGGCGCGGGCCTAGGCGAGGGCACGGGCTAAGGCGAGGTCGCGGACCTAGGGCGTGGGCTGGGGCGATGGGCTAGGGCGCGGGCTGGGGCGACGGGCTAGGGCGCGGGCCGGGGCGACGGGCTAGGGCGCGGGCCTGGGCGACGGGCTAGGGCGCGGGCCTGGGCGACGGGCTAGGGCGCGGGCTGGGGCGACGGGCTAGGGCGCGGGCTGGGGCGACGGGCTAGGGCGCGAGCCGGGTCGACGGGTTGGGGCGCGGGCCTGGGCGACGGGCTAGGGCACGGCCTGGGGCGACGGGCTAAGGAGCACCTCACTACAGCCTATCACAAATATCAACATTTGACAGGCTCTTCCGACGCCCTTTAGAAATCAGGGCTGTACCGAAAAGCAACCCTTTAATTTCGGACCCTGGAGTGATGTCAACCCTTAATGTTCAGGGCATTAAGGCCATATGGCCTTGAATCGACAGCCCTGATTGGAAGTCGAGCTGTTGTGCATTTGAATGTTACTCGACTTATTCACTATATATGAGGTTCTTGTACCATAGCTGTTGAGAGTCATTGGTCATTTCTAGTTTCAGAAGGTTGGAGTGTGGCAATACATTCATTCTTATCGGGTCATCAATCGTTTCAAAGTGCACAGAAGATCCCCGCCGGCAAGCACCCTCTCGTTCGAGTCGGTGCGACCTTGCGACAGCTCCAAGCTCGACTTGCGACGGCAGCGTTAGTTTCGAAGTGCTCCTCTTTTCTGTGTTTGTGCCTGTCAGAAATAGACGGGCCGTCACTTTAGATCAGGCAGCCGAGCCAGGGCTGAGATCCATAGACTTTGCCGCCAAGCATCTGTCAAATCACCCACATTTTCTGACCTTTCTCAGCACTGACACTGAAGTTGGGCCTGAGCGACAAATCGCGAGACTCCCCACTGAAGCAGCGACTCGCTGCTGAAGCTGCGTGTAGTCTAGTTACCGTATTGCAGGCTGATGAGGGTGTTAGGACCGATGCAACCCATATGGGTTGCAACGCAACGCTGTAGTCGTGATCTAGTTACTGCTGCGAAATCCAGAAGCTCATCTCACTGCTGCGAAATCCTGAAGCTTATTTCACTGCTGCTATATGGTTAGGAGATCCGATAGACTGAAATCGGGTTGTCTGTCACAGAAGCTCCCAGGCAGCCCAATGCCCAGACGCCAACGTGGGTGTGTGCAATCTCGCTATGTTCCTCTTGAGAATATATTCTCCGAGAAAAAGTCGGTCGTCCCTCTTTAGCTGATCTGAAGCTGCGTTTACATTTCCGTAATCGCTGGTCAGCATCCCAAACTCGCCGAAGTCTTCGACCGGCACGCAAGGTTAGAGATCCTGATTAGATCGTGTTGTCCGGACGACTGACGATGACGTCACCTGTGACTCCAAAAACCATGGCTGCTGGAAGCGTGCGGATCTTCGTACTCGTATTATTCGCCATCATGTGCATCGCGGTTGCGATCTGGTCCAAGATTATCGCGTCAGACTTTCGCGCGACCCTGTCAGACTGTCGGAATAGTATTCCGCTGGGAGTGTCAATAGCAAGTGGGGTAGAAAGAGAAGATGAGGGAGGGTTTACTGGAGATGGAGTTGAAACTGCCAATTCATCTCAGCCGTTGATCCCTGGGACCAGGCTTTCCACTATAGCCGAGGTTAGAAGTTTTGAGAGCAGATTTGAATGTTTGGCATCTAAAGGTCAGTGGGTATATGACCCTAAGCCAAGATACCTACCCTGGAAGGAGGAATCGAGTACCGGGTACGCTTCCTGTGACTACTGGTGGATTACAGAGGCCCAGAAAAACGTTTCTAGGCAAAGTGGAGCTTCTGGGACAGCTGCATTTCGGAACATCGCGTATGACACTGCGGATGGTGTGGTTAGGAGGAAGGGGGACAAAGCAGTGTGGCAGGTTCGGCCGAGCGTAAAGTACCGGTGGCTGTTGCCGAAGCAGAACGGAAGTGGCAATTTAGGAGAGGAGGAGGGGGGAGGAGGAATGGAAGAGTGTGGGGGAAGTGAGTGGTGGGGGGAAGTGGACTGTGCGCGGTTGAAAGCAGGGCTTATTCCAAACGGAGGGAAGATCCTGATAGTGGGAGATTCGTTAAACTTACAAGTATTTATGGCCTTCAGGGATCTTATGAAAATGTGCCAGAAGAAGTGTATCTTTGAAGTGTGGAAGAAATGGAATGAGGAAAGGCAGCAGCAGAGGCAGCAGATGCAGCAGGGGCAGCAGGGGGTGCAGCAGGGGAATCGGGGGCAGGAGGGGCAGCAGGGGGGGCAGCAAAAGCAGCCACGGCAGGAGGGAAAAGAGGAGAGGAAACAGGAGGGGAAATGGGAGGGTAAACAGCAGGAGAATGAGCAGCAGCAGGAGAATGAGCAGCACGCTAGGCTGCATCACCAGCAGCAGCGGCAGCAGCTAGACGAAACATTTAAGCAGGAATGTCCTGGAGTGGAGATGCTTGGACAGTAATCGTGTGCGGAGCATCGAAAGATTCGTGAGATCAGGTGGAACTGCCAGGAATTGCAATACGGGAACACCACAATACTGTACATACGAAACGACCTTCTAAACACGTCCAACAACTACTTGGTCCAAATCCCTCGCTGCATCAACACCCCTTGGATGAGGACGCTAAAGAAGGATCGCAACGTGGGAGTGCTCCTACTGAATCGTGGGGCGCATTATGAAGAGGATAAGGTTTTTATTCCCGGGCTGAACGCTACACTCCATGAAATACGAGATGCTGCACCGAACACGCTCGTGGTCTACCGGAGCACGCCGGGAGGCCATCCCAACTGCACAAGAGCAATTACAGATCCTTACAAGGAGCCTCCGGACTCGAGCTCCTATCCTTACAACTGGGGCGATTTTCACGAACAAAACATGATTACGAAGCGATTGGTGAAGGAAATTGGAGGTGTTTTTATGGATGTTGAGAGGATGACATGACAGCTATGAGAGCTGATGGGCATGCGGGCCCTCCATGGGATTGCCTGCACTATTGTCTTCCTGGGCCTATAGATACATGGGTTAGTATGTTTTACCACATGCTTACACAGTTGCTGTAAACTGTATTTATAGTTCCTACCACCATCCATTTAATCATGCAAGCTGCAATTGTGGCCTCACTCAGTCCATTATTGGGGTACATTCGGTGTGTCAGAATCCCAGTCACTAGACCACTGGGATAAAATGGCTTTTTACAGTAGCGGGTCAGTGCGCCCATAACCCCACAGGCTAACAGGCCTGTAACCTCCCAAGGATCAATCGGGGATCTAACAGTGCAAGTCTTCTGACACCCCCCTACACTGGGAGCTCCAGGACTCGGCACAGCGGCAACGGCCTGCATGTGCATACACCAGGATTCGAACCCGAGACCGCTCTGATACCATGTCAGAATCCCAGTCACTAGACCACTGGGATAAAAGGGTTTTTTTTTGTTTCAGTAGCGGGTCAGTGCGCCCATAACCCCCCAGGCTAACAGGCATGTAACCCCCCAAGGATCAATCGGGGATCTCACAGTGCAAGTTTGAGACAGTCTACGAGTTTGAAGTTGTTTTTATATGAATAATTTAGAAATAAATTTCTAAATTTAATGATTGTGACAAGATTCGGAAAGGGAGGAATGCAATAAGGAGGCATTCCCCTCTTATCCCTCGGCAAGTCCACAGACCTGCCACCTAGTCTCATTTCATCCATCTTAGTTTTGAACACGAAAAAATCCCAGCTCGAGCCGGTGCAGCGCCTCAAGTTTCTTGGCCTACTCCTGGACACCAGGGACCTGTCTTTCTCAGTCGACCCGGAGCGACGCACTCGCCTTCTTGAAGAGATGCGTCTCACTTGCTTGGAGGGCAATAACAGGCGTCTCATCCCAGTTCGTCGCCTCGCGCGCATCACCGGCATGCTGGCATCCATGTCGCTCGCGCTCGCCACTGTGGCCCGCGCATTCTCTCATAATATGCTCACACAGATAGCAGAATGCCCGTCTTGGGGTCACCGAGTTCTCCTTTCCAATAGCTCAGTCGACGAGCTCCAGTTCTGGATGGCGTGCTTCGACGAGTTTAACGGCTCTCGATTTCATAACCCACACGCATACGAAGCGGTCATCTACGTCGACGCGAGTGACATTTCTTGGGGAGCAATACTTTCTGATCTCAAAACTAAGTTGTGACCGCTCACTGCTCCCATGCCCCACACCTTGTCCGCTACCTCTAGCACACTCCGTGAAATCACCGGTATTCTCTGGGCACTCACCTCCTTTGCCCTGGACATACGCAAAGACAGCCAAGCTCCCGGACGGTACTTCATATGCCCCCTTCATACTAGACCATCTGGTGCTTCCCCTAGGTGCTTCTTGTCTCGCACTAGGTAGTGATGTTCGTGCGTTCGGTGGAATCGGGCTACCTAACTCACCCCTCATTGTTCTTCGCATGGATTTTTCTCTATAATAAATCGTTTCTGTGTGGCAGGATCGGATATTTGTAGACTTCTTCTGGACCTGCTGACACTCACGGTGGATCTTCGTGCCCAATCCACCATTCGCACGTACGAGCCATACTGGCGGCAATACCGTGCTTTTTGCTCAAAGCACTCACTCCAATCGCTTCCGACCAATGATCCCACCACAGCCCTCTTCCTCTTGCAATCAATCCGATTGGGTGCGACGCTATCAGCCGTTCGTTCCATCTGTTCTGCCATCTTCTGCGCTCACTGGCTCCTAGGCGCGCCATCCCCTATCAAGGGACCACTTACCTCACACGTCAAGGATTACGCCCAACGCACGTGTGCCCGCCCCCACCGGGCAAAGGACCCCGTGCCCCTCTCCAAGATCTACGACATGTGTGATGTCTACTTCTCCTCGCGGGATCCTGCAACCTTTCAAAAAGGGCTCATCCCACTCCTCATGTTCTCTGCCTTCTTGCGCTTCTCCGACCTCGTCGCCCTTCAGTGGCATCACATCGAGTTTGACGCAGACTGCATGTGGCTCTTCGTTCCTCGATCCAAGACTGATCAAAGTGTTGCCGGAGCTTGGGTTCCCGTTGCAACGCCGGACGCTGGCCACTGTCCCATTGCTCACGTTAAGGAAATTCTCTTCTTGGCGGGATTCTCTCGCGCGTCCATGGGCTCCCTCATTCGCGTCTTTCGGCCCGGTTCCGGCACGTCACCGTCTGACTCCTCCTTGTCTTACACTACTGTGCGGAACTGGTGCCGCGAGGCCTTTACTCGTGTCGGTTTGGATCCTACCACCCTCGGGACGCACTCTTTTCGCAAGACGGCGGCCACCCTCGCTGTTGATGCTGGTCTTCCCGACCACCTTTTCAAGGTGCTTGGGCGGTGGCGCAACGATGGTGTGTACATCACCCAACTCGACTCAAAGTTAATTCGCGCATCCCGGCTCATGCAAGACCCGACTCGGCAGAGCGCTACTGCACGTTATGCGGCTACCGTCAACCGGGTTCACCACCGTCCGTTGCCATGATGTTTCGTTGTCCTATGACGACTGCATTGCAGACTCCTTGTAGAGTCTTGTCACAATATGAATAATTTAGAAATAAATTTCTAAATTTAATGATTGTGACAAGATTCGGAAAGAGGGGGATGCAATAAGGAGGCATTCCCCTCTTATCCCTCGGCAGGTCCACAGACCTGCCACCTAGTCTCATTTCATCCATCTCAGTTTGAGTTCTTGCCCGCCGCACCCCTAGGACGCTTAGACGCTTAGATAGTATGTTTTGCTCGTTCTTGCTATTTATTTATACATTGTGTGCCATGTAAAAATTGATGATGATAATATGTGACGACTGCATACGACGACTGCATTGCAGACTCCTTGTAGAGTCTTGTCACAAATTATAGTATTTTGGTCCTATGTGAGGTTTCCATATATACGCTCGTGTCAAAGTACGAACATCGCAATGAGTTCAGTACAAAGGGAGCAGTACAAACGCCAACCCTGTCAAATGCTATATTAGCTTGTTAAGCTACAGTAGGGGCCACAATTGCACGCGCAGCCGCACGCCCACATCCACGCAGGCGCGGCAGCCCGCACGCAGCCGCGCACGCGCTGTCGCGAGCACAGCCGCACACGCACAGCCGCTCACAGCCGCGTGCACAGCCTCGCGCACAGCAGCGCACGAGCAACTGCACGTACAAACAACTGCGCGAACAGCGGCGTGCCCCCAGCCGCACACGCGCAACTGCACGCACAACAGCAGCCGCCCGCGCAACAGCAGCTGCACGCGCAACCGCAACCGCGCACGCGGTCGCAGGCGCCTCTGCCCGCCGCACGCGCAGCTCCAGCGGCACCCATCATCCCACCCGTGCCTGCTGTCCTCCCTACGTCCACTTCCATAGGCGTTCCCCGGAGCGGCTGGCAGCCGCAGTCGAGTCTCCTGGTGCAGCTTAGGTTTCACCCCTCGTTGTGACTGGTGCTCCTAGACTAGTCTTTCTGGCTCCATGCGCTACTCGCTCTGACGGTCTCTAGACTACCCCTCTGGCTTCGTTCATTACTTGCTTCGGCTTTTCCTGGACTAGCCTTTCTGGCTTTGTTCGCTACTCGCTCCGGCCATTCCTAGACCATCCTTCTTGGCTCCGTCCGCTCCTCGTTCGCTTTTAGTTCCAGCCGTTCCTAGCCTTTCGCTCCTAGTCCAGTAGAGCACTCGCCATGGCGTCCTCTCTGGTCCTGCGTTTTGATGTGGAGGGTAGAGCACTAGAGTTCCCCACCTGGCTCCTACACGCCGGGTCGTACCTCTAGAGCCAGCGCCAGGATGGTAACACGCTCTTGGTGCACGCCTCTGGTGACCTGCCTTCACCTGAGCGCCCTCCTGACCTACTTGCTGAGCCTACTGCCGCAAAACTGGAGCGCTTTGCTCAGGCCCGTGCATCTCTGTCGGTGTGGCAGTCTCGTGACGCTGCGGCTTGTCTTACTCTCAGCAGCCTTCTACCCGGGACCGAAGAAGCCCACTTCAGCCAGGTTCGATATGCCAAGGATTGTTTTGATGCGATTAAGTCCCGTTACTCCAGTCCCTCCTCCGCCTCTCTTGGTCGCCTCCTCATGCCGTTTCTGTTTCCCGAACTTGGAGCGTTTGACTGTACTGTTGACCTTGTCACCCATCTGCGCTCGCTCGGCGCTAGCTACCGTGGTGCATGTATCGAGGCTGAGCTTGCTGCTGCCCCCTCGCCCATGCACGTGAGAATTCACATTATAGTCACCAGCCTCCCTGACCGCCTGTCACCTGCACGCGACGCTCTTCTTTGGAAGCATCGACATCCTTAATACAACTCTCAAGGATATCGAGAGCAACACCCGCTCCGTTGCCTCGTAGTTCCCCCGCTCTTTCAGGGGTGTACTGTCCCACAGCTCCCCATCTTCACTGCTTCTCTTGCGTCTACTGCGTCTCCTGCTCTTGCCGAGACTGCAGCCGTTTCCGCCGCTAGTGGGCGGAACAGAGGCAAGGGAGGTAAGAAAG